GGAAATAATCATCAAGCGTTATACCGTACGGCTTTCCGACACGACCATCGAGTCTCATAAAAGGGCGTTGATCGACCAAGGACACGAACTACCAAGCAATACGTGTAGGCAGCGTGTTTCAAGGGAGTGACTTCACATTGCTATAGAAGCAACGAGCTCAACAATGTCCGGACAGTGACCCTGAATGCGAGAAACGAGAACTTCAGCAACGATACTTGTAGGCTGGTAAAATTCCACCTTGAACACTAGCGCTCGTTTCTCACCTGACGGAAAGTATACATTTTCTCCGCTTCCTTTCAGGTGCCGGTAAGGTCACGCTCGCCCAGAATCTCACTCTGCGCGCGAGATAACTCACGTGTGTGATTTCGCACATACCCAAGGCTGGTAGTTTCTGTCACGTTGTGATGAAATACCACAAACGTGAATGATCGCGAAGGAGGTGATGACAATAGTGAAATTCCAGCGACCCTCATCAGAATGCCCGAAACAGACAACCAACAGGCATTGACGGTTCACAGCACAGCGTAAGTAAACTTGTGTTGCATGCGCTGGCAGTTCCAGTCAGAGTTCACGCGTTCTGAGAAACAGATAATGGTGCACTATGCTCTGAAAAACTCCGGAGTTCATTCCTTCATCACTGGTAAACCGATCACTGATGATTTTGTGAGGTTGGAGGTTGCTCCTGATCACGCCGGTGTAAATGCTGGAAACATATATATGCGAATATGCTGCGTGGTGAAATATTCTGTACAGTTCTGAATCTGTGGACGTAAAGAGAAAACTCGGCTGCACGCTTGCAAACAACGGAAGACACCTTGCCGCAACGCTACCGTTTCAGGGAGCCGAGTGAAGAGAGCTACGAAAAAAAAAACGAGAACATATACCGCATTTCTTGCGCGTATTTAAGTGTTTTAGCGCATATGCGCAGCGACCAAGTTTTATGTGAGTATAGTCCGATCGCTCGTGCATTTTTGATTGAGACCAAGTGAACATTTCTCATCAATGATTATCTCATTTTTCATCAATATTTCGCTCAGCAAAGTAAGCAAAACAAAAAATAAATTATGAATGTACAAAAACATGCTGTGTATACTTCTTATTCCTCGTTGTAAGTGGAATCCTCCTTGACCTGTCAAACGCACTTCGCTTCGATCAGGACTACGCCATCTGCGCTTAACAAAAATTAGCAATTAACGATGTCTTCTTCGATCGGGTGAGTAATCGCAGTATTGCATTGTCTAAGACTAGTCCATTCAATAGTGCAGCGAAAGACCGTTGCTCCAAACGGTAACATTACCTGTCCTTTACTGTATTTAGAGTACTTCTTACAGTACTGCCCCGTCACCATGGTCTAGTAGCTAAGGTACTCGGCTGCTAACCTGCAGGTCTCAATATCGAATCCCGGCTGCAGCGGCTGCATTCTCGATGGAGGCGGAAAAGCTGTAGGCCCTTGTGTTCAGATTTTGATTCACGTTAAAGAATAACAGGTGGTCTAAATTTCCGGAGCCCTCCACTACGGTGTCTTTCATAATCTTATGGTGGTTTTGGGACGTTAAACCCCACATATCAATCAATCATTCTCACAGTACTTTTACTGACTTTCCTCACAACCATACGCATGGGCAGAGGGGAATCTTATGGCTTGATATACATGTGAACCTTCTGTTTCAAATACCGCCGATAGTGACGTCACAGAAAAAAGCTGATGGCTATGCCCCCCCCCCCCCTCGTCGGGTCGGTGTGAACTCCCCCCGAAAAAAATTTCTGGCTATCTGGCTACGCCCCTGCCTTGAAGTATGAACCAACTCACACAGTTACACGTTTTCTTGCAGTCAAAGAACTGATATGTTCATTCTGGTTGTATAGCGACACAACGATGAAGACGCAAGACTAAAAACTCGCAATCAACCTTAAAGGGGGCTCAGGTAAGAGTCTTTTTCACCTATATGCTAGAGCAGAAGTAAGGGTAAATACCTAACCAATGCAATATATCATCTTATCTTGGGATTTGCTCCAGCGAACTCCTAAAGAAAACCTTTCTGCTGAATACACATTCGATGCAATTTCTTTTGCCAGGGAGTTGTAATAATTTATTATTTGACATGCGTCTCCTCATTGTAATGCATAGCCCCGTATGTTGCACAAGACCCGTATGTTGCACATGAATGTAGTGCTATAGGTTTCCTCAACAGCACACTTCTTAGGACCGTCATTCAGTAAAATGTATACGAAGAAATGGAAAGTTGGCTATCCACGGCAGAGCCTAACGTAGCCTTGTATAGTAAGTGTAACAAGAGCGTGTTAAAAGGAAGTGACCTTGAGGAGGAGGTAAAAGGGAGGAGAGAAATTAAAGCGTGGTGGGGAAAGAGCAAGGAAAATGCAGAAAGAAAGAGAGAGAGAAGGAACACCAACGAAAGAGAGAAGAAAGTAGAGACAGAAAAAGATAGAAAGAAAAGGAAAAAGCAAGCACCGCTCGTCTAGAGGCTGGGCATCTCACCACATAGCCAAGCCGCGCATGTGCAGTAACTAAGCTACGTTCTTTAACGGAGACATCCCGTGCGACTTCAGCTATGCGCGGCCTCACTGCGCGCGAGCTTTTCGCATCATGGGGCGTCCTAAGAAAGTTATCATACTATCTAGGAGGAAGCCGTGCACCTCGAAGCCACACTCTAAGAAAAAAAAGCAAGAAGAAAGGTCACGACACTGTGATTCACTTCGGGTAGTCACTTGACTTGAGCAGAAAAAGTGTTAGCATTTTAGAGCAGTGACAACACTCTTGTGAACCACTTATCGACTGGCGCCACTGTACACTCTATACAAATCTCCCATTTGCCATTCAGCGTTGTTGTAGCGGGTTTACCCTGTTGCCCAGGTGACGGGCTGGCGCCGATTCCTCTGCTGCCTCCACCTGCCTTTTCAGTCTCCTCCAGGGTGACCGTTGGTTTCAACTTTGCGCCTAGGATGGATGGAAAGTCCTTTATCGAAAAAGAAAAAAGGGAGGCACAGGACCTCTGTGGGGATAAGTAGGACTTTCTAACTACACTACTAGTTGACGGTGTCATGGGTTTTACACTTATTGTATTCACTATCACTAGTACTGAGGTGGTATATAGGGTCAGGAATGTGGTTTGTCAGACCCCATGCATAAACCCCTCTGATCAGGCCGCTTTGACTTCCATATTGGGCAAATAATAACTGTGTGTCCGGGTCCGTAAGGAACGCTTCATAATAATTTGTGGATTGCAGAGCTTGTATGGCCCTTTTTCAAATGCGGAACACTGCCACAGTAAGCGATGAAGGTCTGCACGCTTTGCGCCGAATTGGCTATTTTTTACCCCGTTCGGCGAAGAAAATAGGCAGTGGGCTCCATAGATATTTACTGGCTACTTTTGAACTTCTGAAGTGGCGCTTTATGCAGGCATTATTCTCAACATTTGCCGATAAAACGCGTTGTTTTACAGCTTTTCTGTAATATTTAGCCGATAAGTGCATGTGTCCTCCATGGTTGTTCACGCTGAACAGGAGCGACAACATATATCAATTCACAAGTCTGATTCCTCGAGCCTGCACGAGGTTTAGATAGATGATCAAAATGAATCACATGACACTGGTACCTGCAGTTTTTTTTCACGTCACGGCACTATGCACACCACAGTCAAACATTTTTGGTTGGCTATATTGTTGATGATGACGATGACCCTTGTGACTCTGGCACACACCCACAAAGGGGGATCGGCCAAGAACTGGGCGGCAGGGTCTTTAAGTAAAAAGCTTATGTTATATATATATATATATATATATATATTTATATATATTCAAGTAGATATTCCCGTGAGCGGTCACAACGTGGTTTATTTCGACGTTTCGGCCTAGAGTCTGGCCTCCATCAGGATCCTGATGATGAAGGCCAGACTCTAGGCCGAAACGTCGAAGTAAACCACGTTGTGACCGCTCACGGAGGATCTACTTGACTATATGCAACGCTACAGCCACTCAACCACCACGCCTGCCTATATATATATATATATATATATATATATATATATATATATATATATATATATATATATATATATATATATATATATATATATATATATATATATATAATGCACTATACTCCTACGAGCATGTAAATGAGGAATACCTCAGCTTCTTCATCGGAAATCACAACCACCTCTTCACATTTGTTGGGAAACGATGTACCGTTCTTGATTACTCTTATTAAGATAATGCTAAAATTGAGCCAATATCTTTTCGCAGTAACTGGGCACAACGACGAGTAATACGAGAGTTGCTTAATATGTATATTTCATTATTTCCAACGGCAGTAGCGCTAAAGTATAGAACGGGTCAATTTGAGTAGCTTAACTTCGCTTGACGCTTCGGGGAGTGTTAAATTTACCCCCGTAAAAGTGTCACTAGGAAGCGTCGTTTGACTCCCCCCGAAGTGTGAACCTTCGCAAAAGGCTCCTTTCAGTAGACTTAAGACGGTTCGAGGACTTTCTTGGAGCACGCCGACTCTGACACGCCAAGACGGTCACCGCGTCTCTTTAAAAAGAGCCGTATAAGTGGCAAGCCAGAACTTTGGAAAAAGAGTCCCGCTTGATGTCTTTTTTTCTTAGACTGTAGGCACTTCGGTCGACGGGGAGCGCGAGAGGCGGATGGTCCGTGCATCACTTTGCCAAGCTCTGCGCGTCGTATCGCAAACTGTATTTATTATATCAGCATTAGTTTTAAACTCATTCTCTCCCAACTTTTTTTTTCTCTTGGAAGTAGAACAATCGCGAAAAGCCTTTCAATAACTCTTACAAAACCAACTACATCTACCCCGTAGTGGCTTCGAGTCACTGATGGGGAACAAGAAAAAGAGCGAGGAAGACGATGGTGAGGACCAGCGCGCGACGTCAGCCATATTAGTTTTCGAGTCCACAGGTCAGCTGCTCCTACGCCAGTGTTCTTGCTTTTCCACGAGAGACTGCTTTCAGAAGCCAAGCGAAATGGCAATCAACATCCCCGGCCTGCTGGCCATCATTTTCTTCTACGTGGTCATTCTGGCGGTTGGCATCTGGGCAGGCCGCAAGACCAACGCGCCCCGACGAGGCACTTTATCGGTGAGCGTGGGCGAGCAATCCAACATAATGCTCGCTGGAAGAAACATCGGCCTGTTCGTCGGTGTCTTCACCATGACCGGTGAGCCTATACTATGACCAATCAGCGTATAGACTTAGCAGAATTGACTGTAGGACGAGTTGGCATTCCGTCGTCAAGAAAACTGCACGAAAAACATGGGCGTAGGGAAACAAACAAACAAAAAACACGAGCCTATATATAGCTTGCAGACGATTTTACGGGGTCGTTCACCACAGTAAATGACCAGCTGCGGTGCTCTGCTGCTGACCTTAACGTCGGGGGCTGTATCCCGGGTGCGGCTCGGTGGAGGCTAAATGATAGAGGCCCATGCACTGTGCAAGGTCAGTGCCGGTTAGCGAACACCAGGTGCATAAAGTTTCCTGAGCCTTTACGCTACAGCGTCTGTCATGGTCATGGCGTCGTTTTGGGACAAAAATCTTCGGATAGTATGACTTTGCAACGTCAAAGACTTTAGATTCTTTGCACCACTAGATGTTGGCGGCACGATCGCTTGACTGGAGCGATATATAATGACGACAGAACAGGAGTTGTAGTGTGCCTTTCTTGGCTTTTCTCTTCATTTCAGCGACCTGGGTTGGAGGTGGTTATATCAACGGTACCGCAGAAGTAGTTTACATCAGTGGTCTCGCTTGGTGCCAGGCGCCCTTCGGATACGCCCTCAGCCTGCTCATAGGTGAGTTCGGCCCATTGGGTGGCTTGCCGGCATCATGCGGGGTGTCCATAGGGTGACGCTGGTATGTCGCCTAAGTGATCGAAGTCTATTTCAGCGACGAGCATAGCTGGTATTCGTGCGTGTAAGCAACGGTGTCTATTCGAGACGTTGTTTCATATAGAAAAAGTTTGCGCTGTACGTGACTTGCTGCGATCACAGCATGTGGTTCCACAGTGGCTGAACCCCGGTGCGAAATAACTAACAAATATTGAAATCGACTTCCGTAAGCAGCCATCACATGATATATTATGATTGCTAATAATTAATGGCAGTTTATTTCTATTTTCTCTTTTTGTATCCAGTGCTTGACTATCACCACAATATTTACACAAGATACAGCTTGGAACCGAAAAAAAGCATCAGGACGATGCAGTTTCGGAAGGGGGCTGATGAAGACAATTAAAACAAGCGCGAGCCATTCGTTACGTCTTCCATGTTGGGTACGGCGTGCGTGCGACACAGAGGAAGTGAAGCGCCGGCGGAGCACATCGGGATCAGCACTGACAACTCAGGCGCGTGCGACACTCGCGAGACATGAGAAGATGACGAGTTTCTGAACTCTGAAGAAGGGACGGTGTTCTTGCAGTGGACACATACACATTTTTTCTGCGACTTGTTTGTTCAGAAGGCACAAGTTTGCCCCATTTTAGCTATTGAATCGAAGTGGGCTTCTTAAACTCTGCGCGATATAAAACGTGCACGCTACTTGTGCAGGCGGATACCTGTTCGCAGTGAAGATGAGGAAAGCAGGCTACAAGACGATGCTGGACCCTTTCCAGCAGCACTTCGGCGCCCGCATGGGCTGCCTGCTTTTCCTGCCGGCCTTGTGCGGTGAGGTGTTCTGGTCGGCCGCCATCCTCGCTGCGCTCGGTAAGTGGGTCCTTCCCGGCAATCTTTGCAAGTGATTGCATGAATCAGTTCCGGCTTCCCAGATGGCCATCGTCGCAGAGATCATTTATCTGCATGATACAGCTGCAGGCACCTTACTCAGGTTTAATGTTGTGTGGGGTCTGAAAAAGGCACTGCTCTCGGAAGCAAGGACGCAGTTCACTCCATCGGGCAAACGAACACGTGTACGGTTTATCCCCTGCTTTTACAACGGCGAGCTTGGCAACCGAATGTAGTACTTGACTATAATAGCATGCCAAATAGCGATATATATGCCACTAGAAGTAACCGGAACACAATGATTACAATGTGCCTAGAAATGGGGCGTCGCCGACGTTCGACTCACCATGAGGGCCTGTGAGCCTGACCCCCACAATCGTACATCCGTGGACCTAACCAATAGCAGTTCGTCCACGCACGCAGCCAGACCCAAGAAGAGACTCGCCTCTTTTCTTTGTGTGCTGGCCTGTCATCCTCTCGTTATGCGTTGCTGCTGGCGTCACCATACAAATCTGTCATCGTGTGAGAACCGCGCCACGTCTTGCATGGTGGCTGGCTGTTAAGCCAACTGCAACTTAGGCATAGGACACTTGTGTGTCATGAGGTGAAAGTGACTTTACAGGTAATGAGATCCCCACTGTAGATTCAGTCAAGTTATGTCTGCGCAGACAAGCCCGGTCTAAAGCTAAGAGTACTGAAAGCCCATTTTCATTCACAGACGATACAATCATGACATAAATGTACGCGCAGGTGATGTGGGTCATGCTCTTAATGGGGCGTCAAGTCGAACTATGTATTAGTCTGAGAAAATAACATCATTTGGATCAACATAAAGTGCGACACAGGGGGGATAAAGAATTAGGACGATACCCCCTCCCGTGTCGTTCAAACTGTTTTCGCCTTCTTTATGTGAAAAATAACTCGACTAGGACGTGTTGAGGAGCTGGTTGGTTCGTGCTATGAAGGAAATTTTCTTTTTGTGGTGTCTTTTTCAAAATGCACGCAAGAATTTTTTTGCCTGCTATAATAGGACTAAAACTTGTTATAGAATTGTAATACACGTCACTAACGCATTATTCCATCAATCTTGGTAAATGTATGCAAGTTCATACGAAGATGGGATGGAGAATCGGATGAAAAATGGTGCGAGTACACTACTATTAAATATACCACGTAATTACGTGCTTCATGTGCACCGGCTTGCGTTTCGCTTTAACCTGTCCATGTAATTGAATTGCTGCGTCAGCGTGTGTAAACTTTCGGCAGCGTATGCTTTTGAACGGTGTGCATTAACACAAAAGAAAGGGTAATGTGTGTAACGCTAACTCTACGTTCTGAGGATAAAAAAACGAGGAAGCGATAACAATGGTCAGTATTAATAGAAAAAGATGTACAAATGTACAGCCACCTCGACGTATTCGTTTTCTTCGTTTCCCCTTGAGTTTATTGTTTTGCGGATGTAGCCGATCAACAACGCTGCTACCGTGCGAACATTTTCCACACAAAAGGAAACAGCGCTTTGCATGGTTTCTCAAATTCATTAGCGGTGTCCGTTACCCAGGCGCCACGGTGGAGGTCATCATGGACTTTGAGCGGACAGAGTCGGTGGTCGCGTCGGCGTGCATCGCTCTTTTCTACACGTTCACGGGAGGCCTGTACTCGGTCGCCTACACGGACGTCATCCAGCTTTTGGCCATCTTCGTTGGCCTGGTACGAGCACCTTGTCGCCTTTCCCTACTATAACGCTTCCCCTTATTCCGCACCAGGAAATAGATGTTCAGGCTGTGAGTTCCTTCCCAGCGAGATAACTACGAATCGCTATCACCGCAACGACCAGTAACGAGCTACCAACGTATTGATTGTAAAAAAGACAGGGCTTGCAAACACACACACACAAGAAGAAAGCTGGCACACCACAACGTATAGGTAGTGTTTCTCCTGTTCGCAGCGGTGGAGGTGTTTTTTGGTCAGCGCCCGTCAACATTGTCAACAAAATTTTGTTTTGTTTGCTATGGCCACTGTTGCGCATGTGGAAATGAATTTAGACTGGAAACAGTTTTTAAATGCAAAAATGAGCCTGATCTTCTCTACTGTGGATGAAAAGTCATAGCGCGGTCATGGTCACATATACACAAGAGAAATTCTGTAGTGTCTGCCTCAAAGAACTAAAGCGAGCAATCTTATATATGCGCGGCGGCTGTCACAGAGCGATACTGGCAGCCCATGTGAAACAAAACCGGCATTATCGGAGGTTGCTCATGGAGCGAACAGAGCGAACGGAGGGATTTTTCTTGTTTTGTCGCCGCGATCACAAACTGTGAAGCACACTTTGAGGTGCTCAGGGGCCTCCGCGAAGCCCATGGTTTTTTAAAGTGAATACAAGGGGCTGTAATAATAAAACCAACAGGCAATGATACCAAAGAATAAACTGCTTCAATAACTTGGTATGTAAATGGGAATAAAAAAAGGTCGACCTAAATGGACAAAAATACAAAGTGCTGCCGGCAGGGACCAAACCTCGGACGCGCTGTTCATCAGAGCATTGGACGCGTTATTCGAAGGTCACGTGTTCGGTTCCTGCGGGTGGCAAGTTATGTTTTCATCCACTTTTCTGTCTTCCCCCTCACATTACAGTTACTTCTAGTAACGTCCACTATACTTTCCTTGGTATCGTTGGCTGTTACTTCTCAATCATATTGTCTAACAAATCAATCTGGAATCCACATCAGGCCTACCTCATCCAGAAGCTGGAGTCTGTACAAAACAAGGCTGCTCGCTTCATCTAAAAAAAAAAAACTACTTGCGCACATCAAGCATAATTGACATCAAATCTTCACTCAACCTGGCTCCTATACAGAAAAATGCAGGATTCTGACACTGTTTTTTTCTTTCATAAGCTACACTACAACCAGTCATCCCACGATAAATTCAGTATTAGGCTATCTCGTCATATATGTTCACTGCTAGATCACAAGGTAAAAAATTGAACCCCTTTTCTCCCGCACTAATCTATTCTAAGACTCGCCACTTTTTATCGCCATTAGTGCATGGAACGTTCTGCATACTGACATCACAGATTGTCGACTATGCGTCATTTCTTAACGTAGTCATTCCTAAAACTATAAGCTAATCGTTATCAAGACCTCTGTCTCCCCTCCCATTTAATATTTATTGTCAAGTGCTTGAATTGTGGTTGCTTTTCTTGTTGTGACTGCTTGTTTTAGCCGTTATTTAACCTTCTCATGTTTTTTGTTTTTACTTACTCTTGTTCATGTATCTTTATTATATTGTTTAGTGTTTTCGGTCAATTATTTTCTTCATTTATTGTTAGCCCTTCATATAATGCTTTCTGGGCCTTTAGGGTATCTGATTAAGAAATAAAAATAAAAAATGCCCTTAAGTTTACACTTATGCCCTTCATTTAAGGTTGTTTAGGGCTTTCATTTTTGCTTTTTTTTTTTCAGCAGCGTACCTGTTTCTTACCAAGCTACGCTCTATACAGCGTGAAGTTTTTTTTCTGATCGACATGCAGTGGATGTCCGTGCCGTTCGCAATGTTCCACGAAGCAGTCGGCCCCATCTCGTACCCGAAGAACGACTTCGTAGGCAGCGTGGAGTGGAAGGACTTTGGCATCTACTGGGACTCCATGCTGCTACTCATGATGGGCGGGGTGCCCTGGCAGGTTTGCGTGTCTTCATCCCGGACTTTTATGTATTGAAAGGGCTCATAAGACAGGCACAATAGATCACATAAGCGGGAGCGCTCGTGTTGCCTCCTTTTTTCGTCACTCTGCTCGTAGCGCTTTTATTATGTGAGTATAGACCAGTACCGACGAAATAGTCATAGCGTTTTCTTTTCAAGCATGCCGCACTGCTCTCTGCCTAAGCATAATCTTTATGCACCAGTTTTTAATCAAAGCGTCCTACTCCCCGGTGGATAAAGGATGGCATACTCTCTTCGCATCCCGTGAGAAGCACGTATTTGGTCTATTTTTTTCCCCGCAACGCTGCACGGTCCCGCGAAACTATGTTTATTTGTCTCCATAGCAATGAGGCAAGTTTCTTACACTAACAGTGCGTGCTAGTAAACATTGCATTAGGAGCTGGAATAACACTATAAGCATTGTTCCAGCACTGTTTAAATGGGAGCATACTCGTAAAACATTGTCCATAAATGAAGCAGTGAGAAAACGTTAGATGGGCAACACTGCTAATGGGCAGTAGACGCGTAGTGCCGTATTGCTACCTGTGTGTTATGTGAAAGTAGTTTCCGAATTTAGGTTCAGATCACTTCAATAGACACACACTGGAACATGTGAAAGATGATGCGTCTCGTCTAGCGCTGTATGTTCCAGACAACTGTTTCCCGAATATAGTCGCAAGGGCCTTTCTCAATAGTGTATCGTCCCGTAGCCTGACACTGCATGACCTGTGTACTGACCTGTGTAAGCGCAGGTGTACTTTCAGCGGGTTCTCTCGAGCCGCACGGCCGAGGGTGCCGAGCTGCTGTCGTACATGGCGTCGTTCGGGTGCCTGTTCATGGCCATCCCACCCGTCATTCTTGGTGCCGTCGCCAAAGCGGCCAGTGAGTGCGCATATACCTTATGCATGCAACAATTGGAAACGTACGCTTACGTTCAGTGAGAAAGTATTCGGTGCAGGACGGTATGTTAATCAAGAACTGAAAAAAACAGAACTAAAGTTGTGTACTTGAACGATCAATTTCACAATAAGTGGCATGCGCGTTAACAGCAAGCTTTAAAAAATTCTAGTTCTGATGGGAAGAACATACTGGCTTGATTTGCGTATTATCGCACTTGGGCTAAAAAGCTGCTTGGCGAACTAAATGTTACATTAGACTGGGCGCTACGACATTCAGGATGAGATTGTGAAATTGCCGGGCCTACTCTTCATCCGAGCTAGAAAACACATGTGCGAGCCTAACGTGCAGCAGCTCCTCGGAGCAATCGGAGTTCAAAAGAAAAAAAAATGGCCCGAATCTGCATGTTACACTGCATATGTCTATGTCGTCGAAAGACGATAGTCTTGCGTCTGCAGAGAGGGAACAAAAGATTCATTTGATGTTCTGTGCAAGAAAATTGGTGAATGGTATTCTAGAGGCGCTGTGTTAGTGCCTCGAGCGTGTAGCGGAGGCGAACGAGCGCACAGAGGCACGTTAGACACGAGCGCTATCTGGCAGTTCAAAAACGAAGGAAGGCGTGCGCGCCTGCGGAGAAAGATGCGTGCTATTCTCGGAGGCGATAAGGTTTAAAACGCAAAGCGACGGGCAGGTTCCACCACCGTGTCGTCTTAGCAAACCGTTGGAAGCACTTACCTTTTTGAGCATCGCGTTGCACTGTCAGCGCAGCGTGATAAACACTACGATCCTTGAAATTACTTGTGTGTGCCGTCTCTAGTATAAAGGCACACATACAAAATATCGACGTGTTGTTATGGTGCCTCAAATGTGCGCAATAATTGCTTTTTAATTGACAATCACACAAGTATGAACGCTCAATCTTGAGCAATATTGGTGGGCGCTGCTGATGAGGTTGGCTGTTTGGTGCCGCTCGAGGTATCGGTAAAAGTGGACAAACAGACAAATATATATACAGACAGACAGACAGACAGACAGACAGACACACAGACAGACAGATAGAGCAAAACTTTTTTGTCGGAGGTACCCAAGAAAGACTATCGTCTTTAAAACTGGATTTCCTATAGATGGCTTGCGCGCACGTCACGGAAACCACCGTGTTCGAGCATAAAAATGTGCGAACGAGACATTTTCTATGTTACATTAGTGCTATCGAAACATTATATGTAGGTTCTTTCATCATTCACACACAGAGACAATGCTTCCGTGTTGGTCTCTCTTAGATGCACCTTGTTTGCAACTAAAAGAAACTAGTTTCTTTCAGAAGTTGCGTCAGTGACGTGACGTGCAATCCGTGTATTGAAAACGAGCGTGGCGCTGGATTCACGTGATCAGATCTCAGTCGTGCTCCGAGGTGCAAGTGAGAGTGCCTCGGAGTGCTCTGTGTTGGAGCGTGGTGCCCTGAAACACCAGTCAAACGTACTTAGAGCACTATATTTTAACCAGCTAGACGCGGAGCGTGCCATCCAGGGTGCTCTAAAGCGCTCTATAATGACCAGTTGAACGCACCATATAACTGAGGACGGTGGTGGCAAAAGTGTCCCTCATGAGGTAGTCGGGGTCAAGTGGGCGTTCAAACTGTCAAAGACTGCCAAGGTGGCTTCCAGAAGCGGACTAAAGGTTCTATAAGCGGCGCTTAAAAGAAGGCTAGTTCCACAGTACACAAATAGCACTTTTGCCTATTGGTTTGTCAACATTGGTACACAGTTACTGCCATAAACGACTAACGAAACATGTGGACACAGCCTTGGTGCATGCATACGTGGCGCGAAACTTTTGATTTTGGCATGTATACTGGGCGGTTGCCACGGAAACGTAAATCCTACAGAGTAGATTGCGTAGCACTTGACCAGTGGATTGTCATTGATGAAACAGTAGCTCAACTACAGACACAGAGTTGAACGGAATGGTTTAGGACGCTCTTTGTGGCAAAGCCATTCATTCTCACGTCATCGGTGGCCTCTGTACGTGTTGGCATAGGTTGTTGAGCCTTTATGCACCGGCCTGATCGAGTACTAGAAAAGTACGTGACTTTGTTGCTATCGAGAGCAGTCTTTATGTACATGATCGACTCTTTTCCACTAGACGCAGCCACAGAGTGCAGTGTTCACAGCACTAACCCGTTTTTATTTGTACGCGTGCATGCAGACCTGACGCAGGCGGGCTATACGAAGGCCATCCCGCTGACGGGCGAGGCAACGACGCTGACGCTGCCGCTGGTGCTGCAGTACCTGACGCCGGGCTTCATCTCGGCCATCGGGCTCGGTGCCGTCTCCGCGGCGGTGATGTCCTCCTCGGACTCGTCGATCCTCAGCGCGGCCTCCATGTTCGCCTGGAATATTTACAAGCTCGGCATAAGGCAGAACGTGAGTGTCTCGCTTGTTTTAAAGTGAAAGTGCCGAAGTCCTCCAAAATTTCGACGACATTCTTTTAGTCAGTACAGATCCAAAAATAACCTTTTTCCGAGCAGCTTAACATAGATCGAATTCGCAACTTATCAGTCTGCGAAAATTCATACCGAGCGAATTAACAATGGCGCCACCATATGCCTGAAATGCGGATATGCGACTCACACTCTTTCTGTATACCTCTGCTCTACTTCCTCTTACTCTGGTATCGGTAGTAACGACTCACTAGGAAGACGCCACTCGCTGAGGAAACCCACAAGACAGCAGCCGATTACAAAGACATGTGCCTTGCACTCCAGAGGACCGCGATTTGTGAAGCAATTTGCACTACGAACAGCCGGCTAAATTTAGCTTGCACGGTTAGCGAACGCCTGTGATTCATGGCCACGTTACGCAGTGCTTTGACGCCTGCAATAGGCTCTGCAGAGAGTGTACACACACCTGCCGCGAGTTATTTGCCACTCTTGTGTGAATACACCTTTTTCACTTTCTGGTTCTTCCCTCAGCCGTAATGTCAGGTTTTCATAAGGAAGCGAAGCTTTGTGTGGGGATAAGCGACAATCGGCGTAGCTAAAACGACAGCGTCGGCAAGCAAGAAGCGTTGAGAGATCGCATCAAAGCCTTTAGTGCTTTATCCGCCAATGGGGAAGAGATCATTTGGTGTGGTACCGTGAAAAGGACGGATTTTTTGATGATCCAGTAGCTGTTGAGCGGTGGCTTTGATGCCTACTTGCAACTATACAGTTTTCTAAAATTAACTGCAGGGGACTCTGGCGCTGCTATTGTTCTGTATGTTGGTTATAGTGGACAAATCTGCGCAGTCTTCGTGTTTGTGGCTTCGAACGCCCTTGTGGCTTTGCTTGTAGCTGTGTTTTGGTTGTGTTTCAAATAAAATAACAGACCAATGTTAACTTAGTGAGCCGATTTGAATTGTGAGTCTCAAAAGGTGAAGGTGTTGAAGCGTAACTGCTACCCCTTTGCTGAACTTTGTCTGACGGCAGAGCGGCTCCAGTCCACGGGAAGCCAAATTGAGCGGGAAGAAGAAGATAAGAGAAATTTGTGTACTGTCCATCGTTCACACGCTGGCTGAAGCGCCGTGCGTTGCAGCTCCCATAGACACAAATTTCCATTTAGTGTATTTATAGGAAACTATGCTTGCAAACGCTTCACACACCCACAGTACTTATCCCTCTCGCGCCTCTCAGTTACATCACAATGGGCCTGATAACGACCCATTTCACTCTTATGCCAAAGTGTAAATCAATCCACATGGCCACGATTGCCTCGCCATTGTGTTTGCAAAGACGTTAAAAAGAGGAAGCTGTTTACATCATCTATGGCACTAGTCCCCAGCATGAGTCACAATTAGTTTGAGTGGCTCGCGTCCGTATGTAGACAACAGGAAAATGTTGACAGAAATGCACTCTGTGCTCCTGGATGAGTTCGCTCACGCGGCGGCACTAGCTTCGACGTCGTGTGGTAGCGCTCATGTAGAATTCAGCACTGAGAAAACAGCAGTCGACACGCCAAGACGGCGCCGCGCGCTCTTGGCTCACGATAGAGGGAAAAAAATGTGAAAAGTGCAGAGATTGTTGAAAGCAGCAACGCAAAACAAACAGCACACATGTGAACGCGCAAGAACGAAGAATGCGTCGAAGTCCTTCCGAGCCCAAGAAAACGTCACCGTCGGCGAATATTGATGCTAAGACGCTTTATGCTGGGTTCCACCATGGCTCCACTGACGCATTTATGTTATGTATTCACAAGTGACGTATTTCCGTCGACTGCAAAATATACACTCACAGATGAGAAACAACATTCTGTCGCCCGAAGTCTAACCTGCGACCTCTCGCTCCACTGCCGGCAACGCAAAACAAATTGACCACGTACTAACTAGCTAGTGCTACGTAAGCTATTCATTACACCACCTACTGCCGACGGTACACAGACCTCGGTGACTCCAGCATGTTCTCGTGATGGCTAGTGATTCGGTAATTCCAGCGACGCAGGCGGCGCCACGTAGCCGTGCTCCGAAGCTGCCACACAGTGATAAAACAGCGACGCAGTTCGGTTTCTATAAACCAGTGAACGCGTCTTCATGCTCTACGACGCTGACGTAAACGCTCGTGACATCTCCGTCTTCTCCGTCATTTCGACCTTCCGCTGCGTCGACTATAGTCGCTGGAGTGGTCGAATACGGTGCGATGGGCGCGAGCAGGCGCTTTACAGTTCGTCGCTCTGCGCTTCGTGGTGCGCGGCGCTTATCCCGTGGTCGGGGTGGTTTGTTCGTCTTGTGCTCGCGTTGAACTTCCAGAGAGAATGAAGGTCGCTGCCATCACTGCAGCGGCCACGTTTGCGAAGTAAGTGCGACACTCTGACACAAAGAAGTAGCTGTGGCAGATTTCGCGCTCGTCTGTGTATTTAGAAGATGCTCAGGTGCTCGAAATTTCCGGAGCACTCCTCTACAGCATCTCGCATAATCATGTCGTGGTTATGGTTAATTATGGTCTGAACTCTCATCATGGATGTCTCAACCATGTAGGGCGTTAATTCACTTTAACGCTCGAAGTATAAGAAAAAATTATGATAATATTACCTCATTGCTGTCGGCCATTGGTCACCAGTTCTCTATCATCTGCATCAGTGAAACGTGGCTATGTGAATATGACAGGGACCTGTTTAAGTTTCCTTCCTATTCTTCTGAATACTGTCACCGAATCGACGATGCACATGGTGGAGCAGCTATTTTCATATCTTCATGCCTTCACTATCATAGGCGACTGGACTTGGCACTAAGTATGCCTGGTTGCGAATCCGTGTGGATCGAACTTCATGAACCACATTTTTCGCAAGATAGTAAGAATTTAGTTGTTGCCTGCATATATCGCTCTCCGTCGTCATCTGTCGTGGAGTTCTGCCTAGCTTTAGGAGAGGCGTTGAAAACTCTGTCATTAGAAGGGAAACGGGTGATTATTTTAGGAGATATGAATATCAATCTTCTTGATGACACCAACGCAAATGTTTCTCAATACATTGCCTGCTTCAGTGGGTATGGCTACGAGTGCCTCATAACTGCACTAACTCGTGTTCCACTTCATGGCAATGGCACTATTATAGATCACATTTTGTCAAACCTCATTAGTCCTCCTGAAGCAGCTGTCATCGAGGTGCCTGTCACAGATCATTATCCTATTTATGCAAACATAGGCATCTCCAATAATAATAAAATAAGTCGATGCTTCAAGAATATCTTAAATACTGCATCATTCCTGAACATCATCGAGCAGTGTGATTGGTCGGCAGTTAATACATGCAATAATGCTGAAATAGCCTACCAGCAATTTTCCTCTATCATTTCAAATGCAGTCACGGCCACTTCAACATTAGTAGTAAGCAGAAAAAAGTGCCTTGTCCCAATTAGTCCGTGGTTGACACCTAACCTGTTAAAATGACTGCGGAAAAAGGATAACTTGTACAAAAAGACGAAAAAGTGCCCTTTCAAGGTTCACCTTCAAAAGCGCTATGAAGAATATTCAAACATATTAGAAAAGTTACTTAAAGCCGCTAAATTATTGTATTTCGAAGATAAAATAAAGCGAGCCGGATATGACTTAAGCAGCAGTGGAAAACTGTAAACAATTTTCTTGGCAGGACTACGGTACATTCAGATATAACCTTGATTCACTCAGAAAAACGTGTGATCGAGAACCCATCTGATATCGCGAACTCTTTTAATGACTCATTCGGCATTGATATTCCTCAGTCGACAGCGCCCCTCGAACACACTTGTTCACGATTACCACATTCATTCTTCCTTTATCCGACGTCACCCGAGGAAGTGTTCACCGTTATCAATAGTATTAGGAATACAAGCGCTGGTCTCGATAAGTTCTTTGCTGCCGACATGAAACTGATAGCTCATTTAATGTGTGATGCATTATGCCATATTATAAATCTTGTATTTGGAACTGGGTTCTTCCCTAAATCGCTGAAAAAAGCAAAAATTACTCCCGTTTTCAAAAAAGGCGACAAGCGTTTAATCTCCAATTACCGGCCTATAGAAATTATTTCATTCTTCAGTAAGGTCATAAAAAAGCTTTTTGCGGGATGTTTACGGTGTTATCTAGACAAGTTTCACATTCTTTCTAACAAACAGTTCGGTTTCAGGCCCGGTTACTTAACTGAACTCGCCATGATATCGCTAACAGAGGAAATTAAATATGGTATTGACTGCGGTAGTGTTGTTGGAGGCGTTTTTCTTGACCTTTCAAAAGCATTTGATTCTATTTCGCACGACATTTTATTTCAGAAACTAGAATCAATTGGTGTATCTGGCGTCCCACTAGAACTAATTCGTAACTATCTGCGTGATCGAGAACAGGTGGTATATGTGTCCGGTACCTTTTCCAACCCTAAAACCATAAACATCGGTGTTCCACAGGGTTCGAATTTGGGCCCGCTTTCATTTTTAATTTATATAAACGATCTTCCTCAATGTCTAGCACATTCGTCCTGTATACTCTATGCGGACGATACCACTATATTAACTACAGATAAAGACGTTGACTCGATGTTGTTTAAACTAAATACCGACCTGATAAATATCGTTAAATAGTTCAATAAGAATAAATTAAACATAAATGTTAAAGAGTCAAACTTCGTTGTATTTTTGTCACCTAATCGAATTATACCTAGGAACCCACCTGTCTTCGTAAGCGATACTAAAATTCATTCTACCTCTAGTACAATGTTTCTCGGGGTCAAACTAGATGAACATTTAAAGTTTAATTCACATGTTTTAGAGCTTACGCGGAAAGCCGCCTTAGTCATTCGAATATTTCTAAAAGTTCGCCCGTCCTTTCGTTTTGAAATATTGTTGTCACTTTACTATGCTTTCTTTCACAGCAACTTAATCTATTGCATTTCATCATGGGGAAATACGTATGCCACTCATTTAT